GTAGCTGGACTGAACCCAATGATAGAACCAAACGAGGAATCGACTACCTGGAGCTGAGGTGTATAAGCACTGACTGGCATTGTAGGAAAGCCACTTGCAGCAGTGTAGCCTGTGATACTCTTGACTGGTTGCATTGTGAATTGAATAGCGTAACTCGATGGGTTCTCAGCACATGCGATGAAATAGTAGTTTGATCCGGTCGTATTGTTGGTCAAATAGAGATTGTTTTGGATATGAAGGTAGTTATTGATGTCGCTTGCCGAGTATGTGCCATCAGGGAGCGTAATTGTGTATGTCGATGTCGTCGAAGCTGTCGGCCATATGATCTTAAAGCTGTTGTTTTGACGCTGAGCAGTAATTGCTCGCCAGGAGTAGTAAATGGATATTGATCCTAGTGCAATTTCACACTGACTGAAGTCAATTGGCTGCGAGAATCGTTATCGGAACTGAGGAGTAGCCACCTGGTTATTGAGATTTAACAAAATCGGAAAGCTCATTTTATCTACTAGTATATACTAACCAAAAGAAAGAAAAATGCATCGACGAAAGAAAATTCGACGACAATTAGTGCCTCAGGCAATGGAGATCGATGGATCAGGCGAAGTAGATCACTCGAAACCTGTACTCCATCTAAAAACGACTATGGTTCAACGAATATTCAAAACACTGTCCAATCAACTTTATATTGATACTTCAAAGTTGCTCAATTTCAAACGCGAGTCTAAGAGGTCTTTCACCATAGATAGCGCTTACTGAACCAATCTGGTGTAAATTCAGGGTAGTCAATTTTGTGTCGAGCGTAATATCTTGCTCGTCGATCACTATCATTGTGATCAAGGTGCCGATATGCCTTCAGTGGAGTTTGGTCCTTATACTGAGCATAACGAGAATCCCCGAAATCAATCTTTTCACCATTACTGAGTATCACTCGATACTTCTTATTCTTTTTTTGGTGAGAGCATCCATGATGTAATGTAAAGCATCGTATATGTAAGCTCAAGATTGTTTATTGAGTCTAACGAGCTACTACGGTAAATCTATACACTAGGCAACTGATCAAGCTCTACAAGGCCGACGTTGCGAAAGAGCAATGGTCTCCAAATGAGTTCATCGCCAATATTCAGTATCCAAACAAATACGACGACGTGACGTTTCAAAAGACGTTTAAGGTACAGAACTCGACGATCGTTGCACTTCTGATGAGCATCTGCACGAGTAAAGAGAGTCTGATACTAACACTGAACGCCATGTGTAAGATGGTCAAGAACAGATTCCGAGATGCCTTTGGATACTACAATACGATTCGAAAGGAACTGAGTAAGCAAAACAGGGCTGCAAAGCTGGACAACGAACTGACACCCAAGGAAGAGAAGAAATACATCAGCTATGAAGAACTCATGTCCGTCCCTGGTAAAGTCGCAAAGGTGCTCAACGAAACGTATGGCAAAATATTCCTGTCCCGATCCGAGTTTGAGGAGCTGGCCAAAGCTAAGATAACTGATTACTTGAAGCTCGTGTTTGATTATATTACGTTGTGGTTGAACGTGCATTATCCACTTCGTTTGGTATGGCCAAGTGTCATGCTCACCCCTGAGGAAGGTGCTAATTATCTTCAAGGGAACGTTTTACATCTGAATGATTTCAAGAATGTTCGGCTCATGGGACCGCAAACGATTCAGTTGGATAGCACTACGATGAGCTTGATCAAGTCATATCTTGAATTCTTGACTAACACAGTAAGAGAACAACCTAGCAAACTCCTGCGGCGCATTTTCAATAGACAGCCAGGTGAGTACGATTATACAAGTGCGAGCAATAGCTTCAGTCAAGTTATATCAAAACTGTTCATGAAGTACAATGGAAAGCCAATGTCAATGAATATGATTCGACACATTGCTGAGTCTCATTTAATTCAATCGCCAACATATGGTAAGCTCACCAATCGCGAGAAGAATGATTTACATGCAAAGCTACTCCACAGCACCATGGCTGCTAACACGAGCTATAACAAAATCGAAAATCGATCAAATGCATCCAAGCAAATCGCATCAGTTGAGCCAGATACATCCTTTGAACCAGAGACAACGTTTGAGCCTGAGCCAGCACCTGTTGCAACGCCTGCTGCAAAGACTCCAAGCAGACCTAGAGACCGTCGGGAACGCATATTCCATGGTGATTTCACTCCTTCAGGTAGCGACAAAACACTTGAGATTGATATCTACGAGAAATAATTTATTTGCTATAACATAAAAGGCGATCATGGAGCAAAAACAAAAGAGACCATAGCGTAAAGCTGGTCCATTCCATGTGGAATTCCATGGACTTCAAGCTTGCTTAAGAAGCGACAAATCTCAAGTAAATATCAAAACAATGTAAGCTTGCTTAAGAAGTGCTTTACTGGAAGCTCGATAACAGCTTCTTCCCAATTGACAAATGCGGCTTGCGAAGAGTTCGTCGAGAGATTGAATTGAATTTGTCCGGCATATTGGCCTGTGTTACTTATTGAGTC